TCACCCAGGCTGGAGTGGGTGACCTAGCTCACTGCAGCCTCAAACTCCTGGACTTAAGTGATCCTCCCACTTCAGCCTCCTGAGTAGTGTATGCCACCACACCTGGCTAATTTTCATATTTACTTTTTTTGTAGAAATGGGGTCTCACTATATTGAACTCCTGGCCTCAAAAGATCCTCCTGCCCTGGCCTCCCAAAGCACTGGGATTATAGGCATGAGTTACCGTGCCTTAAATAAAAAGTCTGTGAAATAAAATAACAAAGATGGGTCGCTTATATAGAGCAGACATAATTACAGAATGTAAAGAAGTCCTTAAAAATGATGCACTAGGAGAGGTCCATGTGGTAAGAACTGAAGCCTCCGGACAACAGCCAGTAAGGAACCGAGGCCTTCAGTTCACCAGCCTGCAAGCAACGGAGGGCCTGCCGAGGACCACACCAAAGAACTTGAAAGAAGCTTCTCCCTCCTCAGTCAAACCTTGAGACTGACTGCAGCCCCAGGTGACAGCCTGACTTCGAGTAAGAGATTCTGAACCAGAACCATCCAGTTCAGCCACTCCCAGATTTCTGACCCTGAGAAAATCTGTGAGATAACAAATGTTTGGTGTTTGGAAAAAAAGATGCAATTTCAAAACACTATCTTTCCGACACACGTTGAAATGAGCAAAGCAGCCTCAACAGTTGCACCTACAAAGAAAGATTAGCTTACTGGTCTAAATTGGCAACTTTCCCTCTTCAAAGGCCGTGGTACAATATTTCTTTCAAAACCCAACCAAGAAAAAAGAAAATACAGCTGGTGATTATGAACATCAATTTCTGGGTCAAATGAAAGCTAACTTCTCTGTAAGATACAGAACAGCGATTTTCTTGATGCTGCTTTCTACTATTCTCATCTAAATTAGAGATCATTCCATCACAGTGCTGTATTTTGTGTTTTACTGGGTTTTGAATGATACCGCTTGCATATGTATACATCAAGGCTTCTCTCACAGAGGAAATATACTGAAGTCAGAGTTAACGAGGAAATACACAGTCTCTTAAACTATGGACGTATTATTTGTACAAATTCATAAAAGAGGGGTGGGTGAGAGGATATAGCTATTCCAGTATCACCCAACACAGATGTTTTGAAATCAATGTATTCACTCCGGTATCTGTGTTTGTGCTTCTGAAGCTCTGCCCAAAGACAGCACCAGAATCTGACACTTCAGCAGTCTGGCTCCAGTGTCTTTCTCATTCTGCATCCTCTGCAGTGCCCAGTACAGCAAGGGCCTTGCACACATCAAGCATTCTGGTACCAGTTTAACTAGAAAAAAGTTACAAGTTACTGTTTTTTTCTATTTAAAATTCTCAAAAGTTGTATAGAACTCCCTTCTCAAAATGGACTACCCACAGCACCTACCATTTCCTTGCATGTTTTTAAAACCTGAAAAGACAACTATCATTTTTGCTATAAGGAGGCTAAATTTTGCACCCTGTTAAATTCCAACCTGCCAGTTGTAATGATTCTTCACAACTCCTTAGAGTTACATTGGCAGTCAATATTTAATTACTGTGCCTGGAATTTAAAACAAACTATGACTACTTTGAAAATAGTTCTTTGTACATAGTCATAATGCAGTTAAGATTCAGGGTCAGGCCGGGTGCGGTGGCTCACGCCTATAATCCTAGCACTCTGGGAGGCCGAGGCGGGCGGATTGTTTGAGCTCAGGAGTTCGAAACCAGCCTGAGCAAGAGCGAGACCCCGTCTCTACTAAAAATAGAAAGAAATTAATCGGACAACTAAAACTATATAGAAAAAATTAGCCGGGCATGGTGGCGCGTGCCTGTAGTCCCAGCTACTCGGGAGGCTTAGGCAGTAGGATCGCTTGAGCCCAGAAGTTTGAGGTTGCTGTGAGCTAGGCTGACGCTATGGCACTCACTCTAGCCAGGGCAACAGAGTGAGACTCTGTCTCAAAAGAAAAAAAAAAAAAAAAGATTCGGGGTCAGACCCAGCATAACTACATAACAAATCCAACAAACCCCCAGAATTATTCTTTATTTATAGTATTATATATCCCATATACCTATATATTAATAGTATATTCAATATATATATTAATTATTTTATATTCTTTCCTTTTCCTTTCAAGCTCCTTAATACCAGCTAACATCAGATTCTTAATCTTTTTCATTACCACTGTTTGCTTAGCGTTTGTCTTCATCTCTTTGCAATTACTAGCCGGCAAAGGAAGATACTGACTCCTCACTATCTTCATTTAACTTTACATATTTAAAATATAGGGAAGGAAGGGCAACTGAGGATCATTAAATACAAATAAGTTTGATTTCCCCCGCCCAGGCAATCCTTTCTAACCACCAGGGTGGGAGTTAGATAAGGTCATCTAAGAGGAAGAATAAGAAACCTATCACATCAAGGAGTAGCTTAAGGCTCCTCTTGTAAAGACATTTGATTATGGCATCAACACAGGTAAAAGGCAAACCAAATATTATAATTTTTCCATTACTAAAGTTTTATGGCACTTAGGATCCTCCATAAAACACATATCCTTGGAAGAGAGATGCCCAAGACTTCAGCCAGAGAGAACCTGAGAATCATATGACACTTGCTTAGCCTCAATTATGAAAAAACTGCTCACCCTGGTGGTTCAGAAAAGCACTAGTATAATGACTCAACTATTTAGTTCCACATATGCAACTCTCAAATAATCACTGTCTTGAATGTGTAATATACTCCTTTATGAACTTCGTGTTTGAAGAGTGTTATGAGAAAAATATTCCCCCTTCAACACACTGCAGACTGATCTTTAATGAATCCTATCATTTATTTATTTATTCACTCTACCTGGGGGAGGGTGTATTTTTTTCCATAGGAAGATTTCCTGTCACAATAAAGTACCACTTTAAAGTCTGTGAGTATCCAATAGCACTAAAACTTAGTGGTCTAACAAAGAAAAGCAATATGCTCCATTCTCTCTAAGAGAAAAAATTCACACTTATGCTGTTGATATAAAGACCACTAAGCACTAATTTAGAGTAACATTACATCTCTTAAAAGAAAATAAAAAGTAAAAATAAAACATCAGCCAACATGCTTTTCCCTTTGTTTTGAAAAGTTAATAAATTCTTACTTTGGTAGATTTATTTTTGGGTGGGTAGGAGGAAAACATCTCCTTACTAAAAATTACATCTTCTTTTGAGCACAAAAATGCTATGATTGTTTTGATGCATCTTGACTTTCAAATAGTTAGGAATGACAACCTTTTTGCTTCAAAACTGTGGAAGAGATCACATTAAGAGATATTTCTTTACAGGAAATAGAACAACATAGATTCATAAAAGTACTGACTTCCTCTGCATTCCAAAGCATCGTTCAGAAAAGCTATCTATTCAAAGCATGTTCTGGAATGTTCATGGACACTTTTCTCCCCGGTAAATAAAAGCACTCCAAAGACTTTGGTCCACCTGGCCTTACCTGAAGCAAATCTCATTACCAGACTTGTGCTTTGGCTCTGTTCCTTTAGGTGACAGGAGTAATTCCTGCCTACCTACCCTTTTAAGATGCAAGAATTTTTAAAAATCACGTAAAATCTTTCACACTTAGAAATGGCTGTTATAAAAGTCAAGGTGCTACACTATTATCACCTTGTATCAAGTACTGCTACTTCTGAATTAGGCTCAGATACTGGCTTTAAAACACAAATCCTGCGGCTTTCCATCCGTGGTTATGTTTCTTTCTATAATTCTGTCCTGATAACTTGTCCTGCACACTCCAAAGATCTACCTTACTGATCTCTGGCCTGAAAAATCGAGTCTTTTATTTAGTCCCTTCTCTCTCAATCAAAGAAAGGGGTAGAAGTCACACCACTCCAGCTTCTTGTAGACATATTAGGAATGAGATCATTCTTTTTACTTGAGAAATGATGCTACATAGTATGCAAAATAAAGGCGACACTTCTTGCTCTCTAATCTTTACTTCCCACAACACAAAACCTGTGCGGTTGTTACCTAGAAAATCTGAAGGTCCCCGACAACTGACTTGTGTCAGTAACTGTCATAAAAATATCAGATCTAAGGCATAGAGTGGAAAAACTTTATCTAGTTTGCAAGAAATAACCCTGCACTCCTCCAGCTACGATGGGGTTTGGTATGTGCTGTCCCCCTTCTAGGGCCTGTGCTGTCTTTGAGGAAAAGTGGCCTGGCCCCCAAAACACGCCCGGGGCAGCCCTTGAGCTGGATCGAGACCCTCCCGAGCAACGTCTGCACCCAACCCTGAGTCTCTCATTTCAGACACACCCCCCTCCACCCCGTGTTTCACAGGAGGTGTGGGCGCTCAACTCCTTCACGGTGGATAGGGGGACGCGACGGGAGGCGGGCCGAGGCCTGAGTACCCATTTTGGAGGACTGGGGAGTTCGGCCCCTGGGGCCGCGCGATTTGGAGTGCGGGAGCGAAGGGCGCATCCGCGGGAGGGGGAAGGACGCCGGAGGGGGGGGGTCTCTCGTATTCGGGGGCGTGAGAGGAAGGCGGCGGGAAAGACTCCGGAGAGCGAGATTTATCGACGTGAGGTTTTCTTTTTGTTATTTGTTGAGGGATGGCGGGTGTGATGGGGGAGTCGCCCTCAGGACAGAGTCGGGAAGGGGGTCGCCGTCCCTTCCCCGGCGGGGGGGGGGGGTCGCTGAGGACTTGGCGGAGGCCTCCCTCCGGCGCGGAGACAGTGACTGAGAAGCGAGGCGGGCTGAGCGCGCCGGGGCGCCGATTAATGCCCCCCAAGCCCCGCGTGCGAGGCGTGCGACCGGGTGGGAGGGGATGGAGGAGGCCCCCGGCCCGGGAGGCGGGAAAGGCCCCAGAGCTCCGGGACGGGCGGCGGCTCCGGAGCCCCGGGTGGTGGCGGCGCGGGCCTGGCGAGCCCCAAGCCGGCCCGCGCCCTGTGGGCCGCGTGCGTCCCCCACTCCACTCCCCACTCTCCGTGGCCGCCCCCTCCCCCCCGCGGCTCCTCTCACCTGCACATGATCCGCCATTTTGCTCCATTCATGCTCCTCTCCGGCCCCCCCTCCCCCCCAGCGCGCACCTCGGCCGGGGCCGCTGCCGCCGCCGCCGCCGTCGCCGCTGCGCCTGCGCGCTGGGGGCCCGTCGCGCTACGCTCGTGGCGTAGCGCCGCTCGGCTGCGCAGGCCCCGGCGGCCCGGGCCGCGGTTGGAGAATGCGCAGCACCGCTGGGACGGCGTAGAGGCGCGGGCAACGTCAGCGGCCCGGAGACGCCGGGTGGGAGGAAGGAGCGGGCCGGGGGAGCGCGGAGGAGGGGCAGCTGGGGGAACAAAGCTTTGTTTACATGGTTTTTAAAGGAGCCGCGCTCGCTCCGGCGGGCGGTGCTGGCGTGGGAGTTGGCGCTGCTTTCTTCGATTCTGCGTGGTGCGGGCTCCTGGATGGGCCGGGGTCTGTCCCCGCCCGAAACCCCTGCACCCCGTGCCTTCCTCTCTTCCCGAGTGTCTTCCCCCTGACTTGCCCCTAGACCCTGACCCCCCCGCCCCCACCCCGCCGCGCCGCTATGGTGACACCGGACCCGGGAGGGGTCTTGCAATTCGCCCACCGCCAGTAACCAACCACCTAGGATGCCTGCAGGATTCTTTACTTTCCTGGGCCCTGTTCTCAGTGGGGGCCGAATCTGTGTCTGTGTCTTCCTAGCTTAACGGACCAGGGCCATTGCTGTCTGATCTGGGGTTTCACCAGCAACCCCAATAGCGTTCTCCTTGTTTTCATTTATGTCCTTTTCTTTTGGATAAACATTCATGGAAACAGCCGCCAAATACTGGTGATGATCAAAATATACAGAAGGCATAGTTCTGTCTTCCCAAAGACTAGGCTGCCTCCTGAGAGGGGTCAGATGCTGAGAGAGGTGGTGGTGCTGGTGGTTAGGACCCCTGGGCTCAATTTGAGTGGGAAAGCCATCCCTCTGGGTCACATGAGGTCACTCGCTGCATGCGGAGGCCAATTCCAGTCTTTCCCATTAGAAATTGTCTTTATTAGATAATGCCAATTTCTGTTTTCCACTGAATTCCTCCTCTTTGGCTTCCATTCAAGGCCCCCAGTCTAGATCTTGGCTGAATTCTGACGACAATGATTGTTTGAAGTTTGTATTTACTGGGGGGTACAACGTGTGATGCAAATGATGGAAATTACACACCCCTTCTGTTGTGGATATAGTGGACTGGCACTCAGTGTTCATTTCTACTTCCATCCTCCTAATGTGTCTTCCTGATTTACAGAGGTAGGATACCTAAAAACTACATTACCCAGACTTCTTTGGAGCTAGGGTTCTGTTAGGCTGTGCCAATTAGATTGACTCAGAGAAGATTTAGGAGGCAGAAGTGAGATAGAGCCTTTGACTGTTCCTTTTGACCAGCCTAGCCCTTGATATGTTGGACTGGTTTTGTTTTTGTTGTTTTTTTGCAATAACCTTACAGTGTCCAACCATTAGCTCTGAGGGTATAAAGAGGCAGGGTAGTGGGTTCAGGGGCTTCCTGAGCTTGCATTGTGCAGCAGTATATTTATTCTTGGAGTCACAATCACAATGGCAGTCTTTGGATTCCCTGCTTGACTGGGTAGAGGTAACAGCTTCCTGGTGGGCCAGGCCCCAGTCTCTGTCTCCCCTGCCCCTTCCACCCCACACTTGTTTATTCCTTGGTCTTCCCCTTCTCAGTAAATGGTACCACCATTCATCTTGTCGCTCCAAATAAACACCCAGTTGTTGTCTCTACTCCTTATATCTTATCAGTCCCCCACATCCAATCCACGTGCAAGTCCTGTAGAATCTGTATCTAATATAGACCCAAATCTGGCCACTGTTCATCTCTATTGCTAACACCCTGGTCTAATCCACCATCACATTTTTCCTGTGCTCCGTTAATAGATTCTGAACTAGTTTCCCTGCTTCCTGCCTTGCCCCTTGGTAATCCATTTCCCATAGATCTGCAGGACATTCCTTTAAAATCATAATTCAGATGATTTACACCCCTACTTAAAATCCTTAAGTGGCCTCTCATTGCATTGAGAATCCAAATATTTGCTGTGTCCCAAGAGGTCACATGAGCTGACCTTGTCTCTATCCTGCCTCCTCTTGCTCATAGTGCACTGGTCATTCCTGCCTTCTTGCAATTCTTGGTGTCCCGGTGTGGTGCTCCTGCCTCAGGGCCTTTGCTCTTGTAGTAACTTCTGCCTGGAATCTTTTCCCCTCAGATCTTTAAATGGGTGGTTTCCTCTTATCATTGACTTCTCTGTTCAGTGGTCACCAGAGGCTTTTTTCACCACCCTATTGAAAGTTAACCCCTCACCTGAATGAATGAACTTCTAGTCTTATTCTAGGGCACATGTGGGGCTCATATGAGAACATAAAACGTTTTAGTGTTATATCAATGTTAAGTTTGAAGTTTGTATTTACTGGGGAGTACAATGTGTGATGCAAATGATGCCAATTACACACCGTTTCTGTTCTGGATGTAGTGGACTGGCACTCGGTGTTCATTCATGTTCATTATGTTATGTCATAGACTCTTCTTCTCAGAGGGTTTCCAGAACTGGATTTTTCTTTTCTTAGTACTGAGAAAGTGATATATTTAATGGAGAAGGGGAGGAGAGGATACAGATGGAACTCAAGAGACTGGTGTTGTCTTCCTTCCCCTCCGACAGTCAGAAACCCCTCAGGGTCGGGGAGGCAGGGATGAGATCTTTCAGAGTCTCTGCTCACTTCTTTGTTCAGTCCTTCCTCCTTCTGAGGCGCACGTCAGCTCCCTGCCCATCTTGTGCCTACTTTCCTGTCATGTGTTCAGAGCTACTTCTCGGGCAGCTCTTCTCACCTGTACATCATTTGGGGTTACCTAATTCACAAGCCCGCCCAAGGAGTCAGACGCAGCCTCTCCTGCTTCTTCCTTTGTTGGTCCCAAAGACAAGCTCACAAGCCTTTTTGTGTTAGGATTTTGTTGCTAATCACTGCAGAAGAATAGTAACCAAAAGTTGCAAAGTTCATGGCGCTGTGGTCTCTGGTCTGTGATTCCTGACTCTTGCTGAGAGAAACCATTGTCAAGGAAAGGGTCCTAGTGGCTTATATTGAGGCAGAGGTGGGATTTGGGGTGCCTCTTTCTTTCCAATAAAAGCAAAGAGAAGCCAAGAGGCACCCCCAAGCGCCACCTATGCCTCTGTATAAACCACTGGGATCCTTTCTCCACCCATCATTGGTGCCTGGGGATCCTAAGGACCTCTAATGCTCATGACACTGCTGTGTCATGGAGCAGTGTCTCTGGGCCCCTGCTCACAGGGATCCCCTGTGGCTAGACAGCTGGTACTGGGGTTAGAGCTTCCACTTCAGGGTCCCCACAAATCCTGCTAGGGCAAGTTGAAGGGGCCTTGAAGGACTCAAGGGTATTGCTCTTGGTATACTCTTGCTATCCTATCCTCTGTAGACAATGGCTATAGGAGGAGAACTTCTCCAGCTTCTCCTGACAAGGGATGAGATTGTGGGGGGGTGTCTGGATGGATTGCCTGGGGTTCAGGCCTTCAGGTTTCAACAGTTTTCAAGTAATCTGGTAAGCTCGGGTGCCCCCCTGTGGTTCCTAGTGGAATGTGCCCAGTTTGCCTTCAGGGAAGGCGATCTGAGCAGTGGTGGGAACATCTGCTATTGTCTTGCTACTCAAAGTGCCTTCTGGCCCACCCAGCAGCAGCGGCAGCATCTCAGGGCTCACTCCAGACCTACTTGATTGAAATCTGCACCTTTAATAAGATCTGCACATTACAGTTTACTCTGGCAGCTCCCAGGACGGCCCACAAGCTAAAGGCCATGCAAGCGCCCAGGCATACTTGGCTCTCCTTAGGGACTAGAGAGACAGAATAGGCCACATCCCATTTCTGTACCCCAAACCACTTCCCAAGTGTGCTTTTCCCACAACAACATTCTTGGTACTCCCTTGGGCTTTGGATCAACCTGTTCAAAGCCAGGCAGCAGGGCTGAGGGCTGTGAGCTTGAAGTGACTCAGCCGGCTACTCCCAGGGCTCATAACATTAATCTTTTCAAGCTGTTTTGGGCCAGCACATGACATGTGCAGCAGAATGCCTGAGCTGTGCACAGCTCTGCTCTCCTCACCAGGGCAACTGAACCCCTGTGGTAGAGGAAATGGGCCCTTTAATATAAGCGCCCATTATGGGATGAACCCCGAGAGTGTTGATCTAATTCTCAGTTTCCCCCAACATTTCTACACCGTCCCTCCATCCAAAGTGCCTCTCTAAGCCGTCTGCCTCTAAGTTAAATTTCTCCTAGGAGCCTGGATGTCCCCAAAGCAACATATCTTGCATGGAGTTGGGATTCCACTAAGCAAAATGTTGAATTAAAGACCAGGAGCCCTGGGCTTTGCTTCCTCCTCTGCCTGCAATGAGCTCTGTGCCCACAGGCAAGTTGCAAACAGGTATGTTCATACCTGCCCTGCCTTTGCCAAGGAATAGCGTGGCTGGTGAAAGTGTGTGCCTACAAGCTTTGGTAATGATGAAGCACTTTTGTTTTAGTAACTATGAAGCATTTAAAAAATATATCTTAACTGCCACACTAGAAAAAAAACTTTTTCCTTGGGACCACGGTGTTTTATTAGGAAAATAGAATAAAAACTTGGAAAGCAAAACAATCCTTTCTAATTTAATGAAAAATTTGTTATTTTTTATTGTTTTCTGTGCGTGAGTTATATGCAACTTGAAAAATAGTTCAGGCGGTGGCTCCCAAGGTAGAGATGTGTGAGTTACATATGCTTCATGAGGCCCCGGGCTCAAAACTAGCGTGAATTACATACAGCTCACACTGCAGTTCATGTGTTGAAGTCAATGCTGTTGTAACTTGAGCTAATCTCTAGACGAAACCCAAGTCTTTCTAATGCTCAGGAAGGCTGAAAAGAAGGCAAAATCCAACAGTTTAGATGTGCTTGGGGAGTAAATCCCTTCTCCAGAAGGGATGTTCATGTTTCTAGAATCTTCACAGGGGTGGTGTAAGCGTATGTTGCTGTCAGCAGGCAGGGAGTGCTCCCAGGTAGTGAAACAGTTGTATCTCTGTGTGTGTGTGTGTGTGTGTGTGTGTGTGTGTGTGTGTGAGAAAGAGAGTGTGAGAGAGAGAAAGTGGTATTGGTTAGTGTGCACATGTGTCTCTGTGTGCAGTGCTGTGTATGTGGTTCAGCTATTAGAGTCGAGAAACCTGGGTTCCAATTTGGTGGCCTTGGGTAAGTCCCTCAGACAGACCTTTCTGAGCCCTGGTTTCCTCATTTTTGAGTTTAGTGTGTTGGGTGGTTGTCCTTTCCAGCTGTCTTGCTCAGCATCCAGCCTGGGGGTGCAGGGAGGGGGCTTCTGCTAGTGGCTTTACTGTGCAATTTGGTTTCTGGGTCTCTTCCTCTCTGTGGGGCAGCCACTCTTTGCTGGTGCCTGCCTGTGCTGGCTTCTGCACTGGACTTGCTGCTAGCTGAAGAGCTGGCATTTGGCTTTCTGGAAATTGTCTTTAACTCACTGGAAATGCAGGAAGCTTGAGCATGAAACTCACTCAGCAAAAAAAAAAAAAAAAAAAGGCGCACACACAAGAAACCACAGGGCCTATCAGCCTGTCGTCATCGAGCAAACTAGAATAGTGCAGAAAACTCTAGGCAGAGAGGAAATGAACTTGAGAGAAGGGGAACACACAGCAGAGAAGAGAGAGGAAAGAGGGCGGGAGTGGAAGGACAGAGCTGAAGCCTGGGGCAGCGAGATGGTGAGAGGATGGGCGAGGAGGCGGTGAAGCACGGCTGCCTGTACCTTCAGCAGCAGCAGACGTTTGGAAAGGTGGGAGTCGCGAGGCTCAGGCTGCTGGAAACCCCTAGGGGTGGCAAGGGAGTTGGGTGTTCCAGAACCTTTAAAGGGTCCACCAAATTAGACAGAGACCTTGGCAGGGCTCTTTCCTTACCAGATCTTGCCTCTCAAACCAGGCCCCAAACTATGCTGTTTATGGATGGCTGTTTGCCCTGGGAGGAGGGGGGAGGGTACTGACTTAACCTCTTGCCTCTGTCTGGCTCTCTTGCTATGTTGACTTCTTCTCGCAGGGACAACTTAAAGGGAATGGAAGGAACAGCTGGGGGTACAAATTTGGGATGACATTGGAGGTTCCCTCTCCCTTCCCCACCTCTGTGGGGTGCATTTGGCTGGTGTGAAGCTTGGGCTGAGGCCTCTGGGATCCGGGACCCCCGCCTGTCCATCCTCCTCCTTCCCTGGCCTCCTTGGATGAGGAAGTCCTCTTCCCTCAGCCGACCCGCACAGGGAGGAACCTGTCTCTCTCTCTTTTGTGGCCCAGCCTGTCACGCAGTGAGGCAGAAAGGTTCAGGAGGGTGGAGAGAAGGTCCTGGAGACAGGGCCCCATCAGGACTTCACACAGATCAAGAATGAGGTCTCCAGACTGGGCCCCACGCTGCCCTCCTCCCTCCTTCCTCCAGGCTTCGGTGACTCACTGGCTTTTCTCCTCTAGACTAGTGTCTGCTGGGGTTGGGCCTGCCTGGCCGCTTTGCAGCCTGCACCTGTGGGGCTCGTTACTGTGCTGTGTCGCGCCCTGGGCAATCTCTCTGCTCTTGCTTGCAGGTCTGTTTCGTGGTTGCTTGCGGCTGATCTCCACTTTCTAATTCCTGTGGTCCCTGTCACCCTGTCCTCCTCCGTGGGTCTCCTGTCCATCCCTCTCCCCCAGCTCCTCTTTGCCCCTTTGCTCACAATTGCTCCTTCTCTGGGTGTCCCTCCTGGCACTCCGCCGCCCATGCATCTGGGCTCAGAAATGGCGCCGGTTTGGGGCTGTGCTATATGGAGAGTCGGGCTGTGCCCTGGCCCGGCTGGAGCTCCAGGAGAACCCGGAGAAGCCGCCACGCCGGGGAGGAGAGGCTGCCCGGAGGGTTATCCGCCTCAGTGACTGCCTGCGGGTGGCCAAGGCCGATGGGGAGGCCAGCAGTCCCCGGGACACTAGCGCCTTCTTCCTGGAGACCAAGGAGCGCCTGTACCTGCTGGCAGCCCCTGCTGCAGAGCGTGGTGACTGGATGCAGGCCATCTGCCTGCTGGCCTTCCCCGTGAGTCATCCAGGGCTGCAGAAAGGGCATGGGGGCATGTGGGGTGGGGGCACTAGATACTTCCTCTGGGGAGGGGTTAGGAGAGTCAAGGTCAGGATGTGGCAGGGCCAGCAGGCTGGGTGTACCCTGAGAGAAGGCCTCGGCCTGGGGTGGGCCCTGGGATTGGGATGGTGGTGTGACTTGGGGCCTCCTCTCCAGGGGCAGAGAAGGGAGCTGTCGGGGCCAGAGGGGAAGAGCAGCCAGCCCTGCATGGAGGAGAATGAACTCTACAGCAGCGCGGTCTCAGGTAAGGGGCAGGGGCTACCCTGTGCTCCCTGGGGCGCTGTCCCTGGGGTGAGGCTGGGAGGAGGTGTCAGGCCTGGGTCTTCCTGCCTTGTGGTTGCCCCCAGCCGGGGCCAGCCCCCTTCTCAGCCTCTCCCCCTCACTTCCGGGTGTGGCCCAAGGTTGGGGAGCCTGGCCTGCCTTGCGTGTTGCCCTCAGTTCACCCCGTGTTGCCAAGGCCCTGCTGAGGGGAGAGGTGAGAAGCTGGCAGAGAGAGGAGAAGCTGTCCCCAACCTTCCACCCAAGTTCAACCCACAGGGGACACGATGGGCATCGGCAGTGGGAGGGCAGGGTCAGGCTTCACGAGCAGCTCTGGCAGTAGGGATTGGGGAGGCGGCTGCTGTGAGGTGAGAGGTGGGGTGGAGAAGACAGGCTGTGGCTCTGGCGACAGCGGCAGGAAGGAAGTGGGCATGAGTTTGGGTGGATGAGGCCAGGGCCATGGTACCCACCTGGGTAGGGGGCGGAGGTACCTGGCATTTTGGGGGGTGTGACCCAGCAGGGAGCAGCTCGGCCTTCACGATCCAGGCTGGGGGTCATGGCACACAGATAATACTTTTTCTAGAAAACTTCTGGCATGCTCATTTAGAACCAGGCGGTACCAGGCAGGCCAGCTGTTTCCCATTATCTGCCTTCTCCTCTCTCCTCTCCTCCCCAGTCGTCCCCTGCAAGGAATTTGCCGTGATTATGAGACCTACAGAAGCCAGTGAGAGGTGCCACCTCCGGGGGTCCTATACCCTGCGTGCTGGGGAGAGTGCCCTGGAGCTGTGGGGCGGCCCCGAGCCAGGCTCCCGGCTATACGAGTGGCCCTACAGGTTTCTGCGACGCTTCGGCCGGGACAAGGTGAGGGGCTGTTGCATGGGACAGGCCAAGAGAGGATGAGCTGTGAACAAAGAGAGGTGGTCAGGGAGGGGCAGAGGGGGCAGGCGAGGGAAGAAGAAAGGAAGGGGATGGCAGAGAAGCAGGGGAGGAAGAGGAGAAGCTAAGGAGAGGCACACGTGTGGGAGGGGAGAGTGATGAGGTGCTGCAGGTGGGAGAGCAGGAAGGAGAATGAGCAGAGGTGGAGAGGTCAGAGGGGTGAATGGTGGCTGAACTGATGCCACGCTGGGAACTTGAACAAGTGGAAGGGCGCATGAGCGGGGGAGAGAGGGATGTCTTTGCCTGGAAGGAAAAACCATGGAGGGAGAAGTCTCAGGCAGTTCCTGGTGCAGGGAAGTGGGAGGCCGAGGGCCTGTGGTTGGAGTGGGGCCCAGGGAAAGCAACGTAGCCTGTGGCGCTGCTAGTAACCTCATTCCCCCCGACCCCCTGCCGGCCCAGGTAACCTTTTCCTTCGAGGCAGGCCGGCGCTGCGTCTCTGGAGAAGGCAACTTTGAGTTTGAAACCCGGCAAGGCAATGAGATCTTCTTGGCCCTGGAAGAGGCCATCTCTGCCCAGAAGAACGCTGCCCCTCCTGGGCCCCAGCCCCAGCCCCAGCCACCCACAATCCCTGCCGCACTGCCCCGGCCCCACGACTCGCTGCCACCTCCTTTGCCCACCACACTGGTGCCTGCCCCACAGCCTCCAGGCCCAGAGGGAGAGTACGCGGTGCCCTTCGATGCAGTGGCCCGGTCCTTGGGGAAGAGCTTCAGGGGCATCCTGGGAGGCCCTCCAAAGATCCTGGCGGACCCTCTGTACGACAGCATCGAAGAGGACCCACGCCCTCAACCCGACCACATCTACGATGAGCCTGAGGGAGTGGCTGCTCTGTCCCTGTATGACAGCCCACAGGCACCCGGGTGTAAGGCGAGGAGGAGGCAGGCCACAGCCGAAGGGGACCCTAGCGGCCTCCAGCATGTCCACCCAGCCAGGAAGGATTTCTCTGTCTCTGGCTGGCAGCCGGGAACCGAGTATGACAATGTTGTACTTAAGAAAGGCCCAAAGTGACAGAGATGCAGGCCACATTGAAGTGCACACCGGGGAGGAGGAGACAGCCACCTTCCCTCTGTCTTCTGCTGGTGACTTCTCCTGGCCACTGCATCAGAAGAACCTCCTCTGCTCCTTCCTGGGCCTGCCGTGGCGTGGTGTGGTCTGATGGGTCATCCCTGCCAGGGCCTGCGGGGTGAGTCACCACCTGAAGCAGGAAGAATGCTCTGGAGAGACCCACCCTCCTCCTACTCCTTTCCCACTTCCTTCTCTTTCTTTCCCCAGGCTTAGAGGGAAGCTAGGGCATTTAGGGCAGAGGACAAAAGGTTGTCAGCGAATCGCCCTGGTTCCTTGGCTTGTGCAGGCCTCCTGCCTGCTCTTGGCCCCTTCAGGGGACCACCCTGGCTCCAGGCACCCAGGAGATGGCTGCAACTTTCTGCAGGTTTTGGATTTCTCTGTGACATTAAAACGTTTCTGAAACATTTTCATGTGGCCTGAGTGCTGTGGGGGTGGGGATGGGACAGCCACACCATCCTGGGGTGAAGGCTCCAATCGATCCCCAATCACTTCCTCTCCCAGCTGCAAGGTCTCTCCTGGGCCTCAGCTGGGTCCCGAGCATCTGTTTGCAGAAGTGGAGGCCCATGGAAGTCAGGGTGCCCTGGGAAAGGTATTCAAGCTTGTTTGCTCTTTGCTAGGATAAGGTCAACGTGAGAAAAATGGCGGGGGCGGGGTGTGGGGGAAGCTGGACTGCAAGAAAGGACAGAACTGGGATTTACTGATACTCTGTGCCCTAGGAATGGGGCTCACCTGCTGGATGGTCCTGGGCCAGCCCTTCCCTGCCCTGAGATTTTTTTTCCCTTTTTGTCTGTAAAAGGAGGGGGTTGCACCATGTGGGTCCTGAGAACCCTTCCAGCTCTGTGATTCCTCATTGGCCCTAGGGGCCCCCAGGTCCCGGCATATCCCATTTCCCCACAGGTCAGGCTCTGTCCTTGTGGTCTCTCCTCATCAAAACCTGCTTTCCTGGAAGGGCATGCCGACAAACCTCTGCTGTCAGCCCAGCCAGCCAATACAGCACTGTTTGTGTGAGGCTACAGACTGCACACAGCCCAGAGGGATGCAACAAGGCACAGGTGTCTGTTACAAGAGGGAGACGTAAGTGCTACGAGAGGCCAAACAGCTGTGAGCTTCGGAGAGATAATTTGTTGGGAGCCTAAGAAAGGCTTCGTTTTTTTTCCCATGTGTTAAGTTCAAGATTAGAAAGGCTTCATATTGAAGGTGACATTTAAGATGGACCTTTGTGGGTGGGAAGGAATTCAATGGAGATTAAGGGGGTGTGAAGGAGAGTCCTGGGTAGCAGTAAGAGACAGAAGCCACGAAGGAGGTGCAGATGTGTTCAGGACGGAGTTCTGCGCTCAGAGTGGAGGGAACGTGCAACAAGCTCATTGGGAAGGCAGATTCCAACCGTGTTATGGGGGAATTTGTACCTCATTGGAGGGGAAGAAGGAACAGCGATGGCTTTTGAACAGGGAGTCCCGTAAGAGCTGAGCTTTGGGGCAGTAACCCCAATAGCCCTGGAGAAGATGGACTTGGGGTGGGATGGGGCTGAATTCAAAGGGGCAAATTCAGAAAAGACGGGATGAAAAGATGTCATAGAGGTGGCACCTGCAGATCTGGAGTCATATTGAATATGGAACACAGAGAAAGGGTTTCTAGGGAGACTCATGTTTTGACGACAAGACAAGCTTGGTTTCTGGCATGTCAAGGTGAGGATGGCTGGGATCCATCTGGCCAGAAGAGCGTGGTGGAAGCCGGACAGAGGGGCTAGAGCGGAGGAGGGAGTGAGGTGTAGACGTTCTGGTTGACTCCAGCCTCTCAGGTGGGCCGTGACCTAAGTTTTGTCTCACACTGTGGCTTTGCCCCAGGTGAGCCGGCTGCAGGGAGCGGCCGAGGGGCCTCCTGCCCTGGCTCTCGTGTCTGTGCGGAAGGGCTGCCCTTGCTGGCACCGTCCATTCCCAGCCGAGGACCCCCCGCTCCCCAAGGCAGGAAGGCCTGATGCTTCCAAGGATTTCAGTCTTTCCTCTCTTCAGGCCTGGGGTCGGGGTCGTGGCACGTTTCTGATTTCCTCGGGCGGCGCTAGACCTGGCCGTCCTGGCTCCGCCCAGCAGGGGGCAGTGTGAGCCTGTGGAAACGGCCACTGGGGGCTTGGCGGCCGCCGGGCCTGAAGGAAGGAAGGACTTGACCACCTGAAGCGCTTGGGGATAATTCGAGGAATCTGCCTGTCAGAACTTTTCCCTTCAGACCCTCCGAATCCCACTCTCGGCCGTGCGGACGCTGCCTGCAAGAGGTGCGGGTCGAAGCCGGACATTTCCCCTCGTATCCCCGCCCCGCCTTCCAGGGCCACGGACTTCCGCGTTCTCCCGTCTGCCGCCCGCTCCGCCTCAGAAGGGGAAGTGGCGGCTTGGGGCCCTCGGGAAAGGTGGCGTAGGGGCCGGTGGGACAGGGGATGTAGGACGTTTGGGGAAGTTGGGGGGGGTAATGAAAGTTGTCGAGGACACGCTGACCACACCGTCAAGGCCCCTCTCAGAAGACGTGAGCCGGCCGGCGGGTCAGCGCCACCGCAGCCAGCGACAGCTGCACCGCTGTCACCGCGATGTGCCCATCACTCCTTCATTCAACAAGTGCCACTTGGAGCATCTCCCGTGGGCCAGCCCCGCCCGGGAGCTGGGGAGCAACACAGACCCGTCCCCACCGCAGGGAGCCCACAGTGCAGAAGTTCGCTGAATGGATTAGCGAAGGGGTTCGTTTGAGGGATCGAGGTCCTCAACAGACACGCAGAGTGAAGCCCTCCTTGGCGTGTTCCTGTGCCACCCCGGCTGTCCAGGGCAAATTCCTAGGTAAGGAGACAGACCGTCCTCGACGGGCACAGGGCAAGGTAAGATCGAGTGACAGGTCCACCAAGAACGGGTCTCTTGGCTCTGGGGTCTGCTGCCTGGCACCTGTTGATGCCGGGAGAAGCTTCCCTATGACCTGGTCTCGTTTGCTAATTATTACGCAGAGGCGACATCAGGTGCACACACAAGCACACTACATCACCCTTCCTGTTTCTTTTCTTGTCTGTCTCTCTTGCTGCCCCTTGGAATGTCTTTTTGCAGAGCATGTGAGTGGTGTGTGGGGTGGGGTGGGGCTGGGGTCCACCGTGTAAGCCTGTAACAGTGGGGTGGTCAGGCCCTGTGGTGAGTTCCCACCTGGAGCTTCAGCATCTGTAAAGGCCAAGCTTGCTGGGGCCTCCCCCACCCCCTACCTCCCAGGCTCCTCCCTGATAGCTCCACTGGAGCTGTTGCTGCCACCACTTTTCAGCAGTGATGCTAACCAGCCTCCTGCCTCCTGCCTCTTGGGTGCTGATTCAATTAGCCAAGGTGCCCACCTCCTGCAAGGGCCATTTATAAAACCGACTGGGCAGCTGGAGACTGCAGGCAGGCTGGGGCTGGGATGTTGTGGGGGAGGCCAGTGAGCTGGAAGGAGGAGGTGGAGGCACGAGAGGAGCTGGGAGAGGGGATCTGATCCGATTAGGTGTCAGGCTGGCTTCCCCATGGCAGGGGCTGTCCATCACTGCCGGCTCCACTCCCAGGCAGATCCTATGCCAGCCAGCGCAGAGCAGAGTCCATCGCTCCCCAGGGTCCGGCCAGGCCTGCCTCTGTCCTCCTTGCCCCTCCTGCCCCCATCTCTGGAGCCCTCTTCTTGGCACTAGCTCCTGGATCTCTGGGCCAGAGGCTGGTGGGGGCCGAGGGGGCTAGCTAGGGGAGCGCTGGGTTCTGGTGGATTTGTGGGGGAGCTGGGGTGCCAGTGCTGGGCTAAGTAATTCTGAGACTGGCACCCAGGGCAGGGTCAGCCTTGTGCATCCAGGTGTCTGATCAGAGAGGCGTGGGTGGGGTTGGGGTGAGAGGTATGTGCAAGGGGGCACCGGCATTTAGGATGAAAAGAGTGTTCTTGAGCTTGCACAGCATGACCTTGTTTGCAAACTGCTTCGGGGGCAGTTGAGCGTCCACAGTTAGGCACACAGACTGTAGCCTGGCTACTGGGATCCAAAATCTGGTTCTGCTACTTGCTGTGTCTTTGGGTATGCGTCTCTGTTTCTACATGTATAAAAGGAAGACAATGCATCAGGCGCGGTGGCTCACACCTGTAATCCTAGCACTCTGGGAGGCCAAGGCGGGAGGATCGCTTGAGCTCAGGAGTTTGAGGTTGCTGTGAGCTGGGCTGACGCCACAGCACTCTGGCCAGCGCCACAGAGGGAGACTCTGTCTTAAAAAAAAAAAAAAAAAAAGGCAGATGATGATAACATGTCTCAGAGGCTTGGGGGCAAGGTAAAATGGGCGAATAAATGCACGGCTCTGAGAACAGTGCCTGACACACACAGAGCTCTGGTGTTACTTGTGGTCTCATTTTACTTCCAACAGTTCCACTAGCGGTGCAGGGCGAGACATCCCCATTTTACCAACAGGGCAAGGGAGGGGTGGGGTGCAGAGCTACCCCTGTCTTTGGAGAGTGAACTTAGGCTTTGTGGAGGTGGAAGGACTAGGTTGGGAAGGAAGAAAAGCGGAAGGGTGTTGCAGGGGAAGGGACGAGGGCCACATAAATGGCCCTTTAGCCACTGGACAGGGGGGTCTCTTATCTGGGGCGAATTTGCATACCTGGACAAGGCAATGCTCGAGTGTCCCATTATGCCCAGAAATGGGAGAGCTTGGATAGGAAGCTGCTTCATGGACTAGAAGACCTTGGGCTTGAGGCAAGGCTGGAGAACAGGCAGCCGCAGGGGACATCTCCTCCCTTATCTGAGCTGCCGCATCCACTCTTGGCCTGGCAGTGGGCACTTCAGGGCATGGACTTAGGCTCCTTGCTGGGGAGGAGCACCTGGTCCAGTTGGCATGGCTTGCCCCTGCGGCCACTGCCCTGTTGCCTGCAAGAAGAGCTCTGGGAATATGAACAGTTCTAAGAGGAGGAAGCTGGGGAGGAGTTGGGCAGAAAGGAACCAAGAGAACATTCTGAAGGAGGGTTGCCATCTCCCCCACGAGACTGCAGACGTCCAAAGGGCAGGCTTCATTCTTTAC